GCAGCCGAAGACGTCAGTCCATCTGTCCTAGTGTCTGTTACACACCCTGGGACCCCAGCAGCTAGGTCAGTTTGCCAAGGCTGGCTTCAGATTTGTGGGGTCTAGAACTGGGCGGTCAAGATGTTCTAAGCCAGTAGGAGAGTTCCTGCTCCTGGGTCCTACTGGTTTCCATTTTCTCAAATCAGGAAATTCTCCACAAACTGAAAATTCAGCTGTGATAGTTAGACTTCGTTGTCAAGCCAACTGCATACAGAGAATCAGGACTCGAGTTGCTGAGGGGGTCAACTCTTGTGAGGACCTTTCTTGATCAGGTTTAGAGTCAGAAAAACCTACCCTAGGATCTGGGTGGCATGGCTTACATGAAGCTTCAAGCTTTTTACCTACTTGCCCCTCATCTCATTGTCAAGTTCTGTTGCTGCAGCACATTCCTTCCCGTTATCAAAACTTCTGATATTCCAACACAGCCTGACCAGTTGTGTCAGGGGTTCTCCAGGATTCTAGCACCCGATTGGGAGAACCCAAGACATCTAAGTCTCAGTGATTTCAAAGCATTAAGCATGAGGCAAAGCACTGTAGGTTACTGGATCACATATCTCGTGAACCAATCAACAAGTCAAATTCTGTTCCATTGCTTTTAGAGGTTGTGTTAGATTCCAGAAAACTGGAACTGCCAAGATTGAGAATCTAGCAGATATGGTGAGTGGAGCAGGCTCTCCCAACTTGATAGTTTCTGACACCCCACTGTTGTAGAACCCTGGAAGCCCAGATTTCTAGAGTATAGTGTCCCAATTTCTCAGGAAAGGAGGGCAAGTTAAATGATCTCTGCCACAGTTCCTGCCTCAGCTTCTCCAGCACGGGACTGAGATGGGGACCACCTGAAGCCAAGTAAACTTTCTCAAGTTGCTCACGTTATGGGTCTTTCTACTACAGCAGAATGGGCAGCCAAACAAGCCTAACGCCAACCATCTCCCTTGGAGAGCTCCGTCTTGGCTCATAGGAGTACACATTGGGTGTCAGGCACATTGACCTAGCACACGTTCCATCTTCTCCCATCTATGCCTGCCTAACCCAGTCAGGCTATTGTTTTCTAGACTTTGTGAAAAGCAAAACTCGTCTAGGAGCCCCGCCCCCAGTGGAAAGCCTTTGTTCCACATGACCGCCTCCAGTTGCGGGTTCTTTCACATATTTCCCCTACTCAGGGCTGGAAGCATCCCCTTCAGTAGGGAGTTCAGAACAGTGAGACCAACAGGGGGAAGCCAAAGCTGGTGGCCTCAGACACTTGAGGCCTGAGTGGACTGACACATCAGCACCTGCTCTACCTAGGTGTACAGGTGTGCAAGCTCAGGGTAGGCACATGTCAGCGCCATTGTTTTCATTCCTTCTGGGTACCCAGGATGGGTTTTTCACCATCCAGCTTAGCTACTGAGAAGGTGCTGCAGCAGAGCCCAGGTGCCCCGCCTCTTGTGAGTACTGTCTCCCAACTATGTCATCCAACAATACGGTTACTGGATCTCAGCGTGGTTGAAGCCAGTTGCAGCACCTCGATTTCCGGCAGATACACACGAAAATGAGCATCCCATTGTAATAGTTAAGTGCTGACCCAAGAAAAGTGCTCTGAACTGTAAAAGCTACTTTGAGCAGCGCCTGCCACCCCCCTTATCCTCGATGTTTAGTTATGTGAGCAGTCAGGAATAGGGTAAAAATTGAGGCATCCCAGACTGCTTCAGAGCCATTAACCGCTTCCACCTGAAGTCAAAGTGGCCACACCTGTGACCATCTCGGAGACCCTGATAAAAGGTAATGTCCACCCACGGCTGGGGCCGGGTGCTAGCCGATTCATGTAGACACCTGGGGGTAGGCAGCTGAACACAGCCCGAGGGCATAGGAGGAAAGTTAGGGGCTGCCTCAGAGTGAAGTTGCGCCTTAGGATGTGTTCCAACAAGACCTTTTCCACAGGACAAACTCTAGTCTCCTGCACTCCCTGGGGGTTTCCCTCGGTTCTAAGGTCTGCAGTAACCAAAAACCCCAGGGTTCTCTTCCCATGAGAGGGGCCAAGTGCGGAGAAAGACGGCTCTTTGGATTCCAGAATCTAAGGGGTCCTTGGAGACCAGTGGGTGTACCCTTGTAGGATACATGAGGGCTCAAAGTGGCCCTTGGTGGCTGCACCCTTCTGAGAAAGGCTTTTGAGTTCTCACTCTGCATGGAGCGAGACGAGACTTAAGCTTTCTCATGAGCGCCATTTGAGCAATATTCAGCTCAGATAACGAGGCTAGGAGGCCATGTTACAACCACTCTTGGTCAAAGGGCAGAAGCCTGAAGGCCTGTCAACTCCAGGATCTCGGGACAAGGCAGGCCGACTGTCGAGTCCCAGGCACTTGGAGCCTTAGTTTTCTGAGCCTGCAGGACCCCAGAGTAGCTTCAGGGACATCTGAGTACATCTCCTGCTTTCTGCTATTGGGTGTTGCCCTGGAAGTTGAATCATTAGGCAAAAGCTGAATCTTTGAAACACCAGGACTTAAGAGGTACAGCCTCCAGTCACCAGTGATGATTCAGCCCAGCTGACTCTGCATACGTAATATGGTGTGCTCTGTGTTCGAGCATGGAATTTCTTCATAACTGGAGATGGAACCCAGGGGCTTCATTGTTCAACAAGCCTACTAAAGGGGGCCCCCACCCAAATTCAAGTTTACCAGTTTTCCCACCCTCCTGTCACCAGGAAAAGTTCAAGTGACTGACAAGTTCCTGGATTTTTCCCATTCTGTCAGGAGCTACACCAAGCCTTGGTACTGAAGCTATCTGTTGACTGTTCCAGTGCCATGAAGACAAATTCTTGATCTTCGGGAGCCAGGAACTTCAGTATGATTGTGTTGGGGTCATGTTCTCTCCTTTATTCCATTACAGCTGGGTTCAAGACAGGAATCTCTAAGCAACAAGCACCTGTTCCCAGGTAGCCTCACTGGTTCTCCTTAGGAAAGTCAGGCTGAGAGGAGCTCTAACACTAGAGAGGACGGGCAGAGGCGAGCCTCGAAGACGACAGGTGTGAGCCACCAACACCAGTTGAGAGGTTTAGCATCCTGGGAAGACACTTCAGTCTGGAAAGCACTCAGATCGAATGCCTCTGCCTCCAGAACGTGGAGATTAAAGGCTAATTGTGGCCACCCCCAGCTTCATTCAGTATCCCCAGCTACATAAGCTAGAACCTCAAACTCCAAAGCCATCAGCAGGTATCCTGGACTCTCATGGACAAATATAATAGCCCTTTATTCAAAGTACTTAGAACACTGAACTAAAGCTACCTTGAAGTCCCCCTGTACTTTGGGACACTTGTGGGAGCAGTCAAAGGAGACGGCATGGAGGACAGGGCTAAGATAGGAGGGGCATTAATGCTTTAGAGTCATTAACATTTCCCACCCGAGAAGCGGCCTCTCCTAGGAGCATCTGACACGGGCCAGCCGCTGCAGCTAGAACCTCCAGAGCAAAGGTGGATGGCTGCAGCTAGAACCTCCAAAGCAAAGGTGGATGGCTGAACCAATGCTAGTACCTTATACCTACCCTATTCCCCAGGTGTCTACACTTAGTCATACCTCACAAGGGCACAGCAGAAAATAGGGTTGAAGTCTGGGGAAACCAGAGACCCGGTGTTCTTTCCACCATAAAAGGTGCTGAACGGAGAACGAACAATAGATTCGGGAACTCGAGGAGTCAAGGAGGCCTTGGGGATCCAGGCCCAGCCCTCCCTCCGTCTTCTCTAGATCTAGTTAACCAAGGCTCTTGTAGATCTAGGAGAACTCAAGTAGCCCATGGAGGCTGCACCCTTGAAGAGCTGGATTCATCCTTTCTCCATTTTACGTGTATGCAGCAACATTCATCCGGGCAGTGAAACTGGACACCACAGCCCCTCTCCGCCATGAGGGGAAAAAGCATGAGTCACCCCAGGTGCTCAGGACAAGTCAGGCTGGCTTCAGAGTCCCAGCACTTAACTATTCTCTTGACCCTGCAGGATGTGAGAGTGGTTTCTGGTACAGCCAACAAACACCCCCCCCTTTGCTTGGGGGGTTACTTCCCCGCCAAGCTTTATTGGTACTTGACAATTTCTGAAGCCCTTGGAGGACAAGGTAATGGAACAGACTCTGAAGCATCATCCCACAGTCAGCCCAGGTGGCTCCACTTAGGAACTCGCTTAGAAATAGATTGACCCCCACCCCCCAGCGCCGAGATGGGCCCTAGGAATTCCAGTTTGGCAAACCTACTGAGTGAGAAGCTTCATAACTGTTTGCTCCCTCCTACCCCCATCAACTTGGGACCTTCAGAACCCAGTTTCGCCAAGTTAATGCGCTTAGAGATAGAGTGGCTGGAAATACGTGCCTGTGTCGATAGGTATTTGTAAGGGTCAGATCTGTCTGCCACACACACTCCAGCTTAAGCAGACCCCATTTTCAGACAGCACCCCTCCGTTTCTGTTCCCGTACAACATTGTGTATGAGTACATGGAAGATGAAAGCATAGGGGACTACCGTGGACTTCAGTGACACAAGCTGGAACAGAACTTTAAGTCTCCACAGAGCTCCCAAACGCGCAACAGCAAGCTCGTGGGGATTTAGGATAGCCATCCACAAGCTTTTTCTCCCTCCCTTGCCCGTAGCTATCAGGGGCGCCAGCACCCAGAGGAAATTTCGTTAACAGACAAGATTCTTCCACGTAGCCACCTCTGAGTTTCAGGTTGTCCCAAGGTCACACACACAACTCCCCGCTCATAGCTTGCTTGGTATCTCCCCCCCCCCACCTCGGAAAGCTTAAGAAACCGCTTTAGGCTTTGCTTATGGGCTAAGAACAGCTCGAGAGACAGAGAAGGTTCAGCAATTCTTCCCGTCCCCCAGGTAGACTTAGTAAGAAAAGAGAGAGGAATGCCAGCTGGGAGACTGAGCCGGCCCAGACTACTCCTTTTATCCCTCCCTCGATGCTGCCCTCTTGCAGCCCATTGGCTGGCAGCCTTCTCCGCCCACAGGCTGGCTGCCTTCCTCCCGGATGTCTTTCACCTGGTGGAGAAGTGGCTCCTGGGTGTGATTCAGCCCAGGTGCTGCTTGTGAGTAGCTTGACCTTCACTTCTGGGTAAGTTCACCCTCTCTGTGGAGTCCTCGGTGATTTGTGTCACACTCTCAAATGTAACGATTGTCCCTGTTGATCCTACAGTGTCTAACCACAGCCTGGCAGACGTCTTCTTCTACCAGAAGGACAACATCGAAAATGAGCCTATGGTGCTGGCAACACAGCTCAATAGGTAAGAGGCTTGCTGCCAAGCCCAATGACCTGAGTTCAATCCCTGGGACCAACATAGTGGAAGGGAAAACTGACTCTCGCAAGTTGCCCTGTGGCCCCTACATGTGCCATGTTGTGCCCTAGTGTTAATACATGCATGCAAAATAAAAGTTTGAACCATTTAAAAAAAGTTTTTAAAAGAAGCTGGCCTCTAAAACCCAACTAACCCAGATACACCTGTGAGTTTGGCTGCCCCAAATCCCTGTCAAACCTAGCCTAACAAGATCTCCCTTTATTCTATGCCCCTACAATGCCATGTTAGCTGCCTGGATGTTGTTTTGTGCCTTTAACTTAGGGTGCTATCTGGGTACCTGGATGTGGGGTTGCCAACTGTGGGCTCAGGTTCTTACTAAGCCACATGTTGCTGAGTCTAAACCCAAGCTCTGACTGGGCCCTTTCTACTCAATCTGTCTGCTTGCCTTCCTTTGTCTCTGTTTCCCAATCTGAACAATGCCATAGCACAGAGACATTTTAATGATCAAGGAGTTTATATCTGTGAGTCTTTAGAATGGTACATAGAGTGTGGTCAGTGTTGTAAAGGTGTCTATTAGCAATGAAGAGATGTGAGGGTGAACAAGGGGTGCATGCCTGTAATCCCAGCCCTTGGGAGCTTGAGACAGGAGGGGTTTGGGTTTGAAGACAGCCTGGGGTGTATAGCAAGAGGCTGTCTCAAAAGATAAGTAAGTAATTCATAGGTAAGTCTGGTAAAATGACGCAGTGATTAAAGGCGCCTATTGCCAAGATCTGAATTCAATCCCTGGGACCACATGGAGGAAGGAGAGAACCAACTCTTGCAAGTTTTCCTCTAACCTCTACACTTCTTGCACTCTGGCAGGTATGTGTGAGTTTACACGCTCTCTCACACACACATTCACACTCACACACCCACAAGTTTAAAGACATCTGTTACAATTGTGAATAACACCCTTAGAGACAAGAAGCAGGTTGGTGGTTGCCAGGATCTTGGCGGAAGAATGAGAATCTGGATGGTGGGTCAGGGACTTTGTTTTAGATTGATGGAAACACTTTGGTACATTGTAGAAAGGGTGACTTCAAGATGCTGTGAATAGACCAAACACTACTGGATTGTAACTCTCAAAGTGGTTCATTTTTATGTCATGGGAATTCTGCTAATAAATGACCCCCTAACAAGCCCACCAATATACAGAGGAAAGGGAGCAGCAGAGAACAGCAATAGGGACCTGCAGACATTCGTGTTGGCTTCTTTGGGCTGACTCATTCCACCATCTGCATCTCCCTCTAAGAAAGCGCAATGGGGCAGTTGCTTTTCTCCCCACTTTGCGGACCACATAAACTAAGAGGGGAAGACATGTGCGAGTTTGAGTTCAGAGACCTTTTGTGGTACCTCAGGACACAGGTTGCATCTATGCAAAACTTAGACTCTTGGGTTTCAGGGACATCTGGCAATCTCCCAAAGCTAAGTCCCCTATTTATAACTGTCCTCACTGCATGTACTTTGATGGCAATGCCTCTTTAGACATCCTATCTCTAGACTGAAGAGGGGATGTGAGAGAGTTGATGTGCCCCTCCTGTGTGTCTTCTCTTAGAGGACTACTTATCCATTTCAGAAATATGCAGGGTCAAGAACCCTACTAACCATGGGACAGTTCCCATTATTAGGGATGATCAACACAACCTATCTTAGGAGAATGCTAAGTTCAGCTGGGGGCAACATCATTACATGTCACTACAAGGGCAGATCCCCAGGCAGGAGCCACTCACTGACTGTTTTCTTCACTGCTGTCCCATGTCCGGAGTTATTACTGACACATAGTGTTTGTAAATATACAGATATCATAACTGAGTGAATTAGCAGAGGATGATGGATGCAGTGCGGACCAATGGAGAAGACAGTAAGATGGTGCTTGCTGTGCAAGCATGAGGACCTGAGTTCAATCCCCAGAACCTGTGGAAAATAAAAAACTGGGGGGGAGGGGACAGTGCACACCTGTGTTCACAGTACTGGGGGGGTGGGACAGAGACGGTGGAATCTCTGGGACTCACTGGCCAGCTAGTCGAGCCAATGGGTGAGCACCAGGTTCAGTGAGAGATCCTACCTCAAAAGATAAGGTGGAGAAATGGTTGAAGAAGACACCAATGGTAGCCTCTGGTCTCCACGTGTGTGTGCACAGGTGAGTGCACACACACACACACACACACACACACATACACACACACAAGATGAACAAAGTCCAGGTCCATCTAGTTTGCCTGGGGTCATGGTGAGGATAAGAGTCCCAACTTTCTATGCTTGTAAGTGTCTGCATGCATGTCTATGCACCATATGCATGCCTGGTGCTCAAAGAGGTCAGAAGAGGACATTAATTTTCTGAAACTGAAGGCATAGATGGTTGTGAGCCACCATGTGGGTGCCTAGAACAGACTCTAGGTCCTCTACAAGAGCCATCAGTGCTCTAACCACTGAGCTGCCCCTCCAGCCCCAAGAATGCTGAAGGCTTTGCAGCTCAGGAGATTATGCCTTCTGGGTCAAGCAGGACAAGTGGGCCATCCTATCCACTGATCTCCAGAAATCCAACCTTATGTGATGTCTTCGGCTTCCTTGAGCCTCAGTTCCTAGAGCTGTAGTGGGGAGTGATACCATATGCCTCTCCCTTCAGGACTCCCATGGGGAAACAGAAATAATACCCGTTTAAAAATAGCCTCTGTATTGACTGGTGGTGGCTTTTCTTGCTACCTTTACTTCAGCTGACAAATGGAATTATAGGTGCATCTTACATCTCCATAGATGCTTCTGATTCCCCTTAAATTAAGATGCAATAGTAGTGTGGGGTAAGCTTGGGGGTGGGAGGGAGGCTGCTGGGGAAGTGAGCCACCACCATCCAGAACCATCAGGGATGGTGTTTCCTGTACCATTCCCTGCAAGGAAGTGGCCTCCTCCTTCTCCTGCCCCCGGTGTGTGTTCTCAGCCATCATATCTAACTGCTTCACCCTGATTCCCACCAGATGTTCCTCCACGAAGTTTGCTGTAATCTCAGGGCCTTAATATAGTGCCAGAATGTGATAAGTTCGAAGCGGCTGTCATCATTCCCTCATGAGGATGGTCTGGTCATTGTTTGGGACTGTCCCTTTCTGATTGTCTCTTAAAGGAGAATGTATTTTCTCCCATCACCTCTTTGCCACATATTCCCTGCCTCCCCACTCCCCACTCCATCCTATTCCTGACCAAATAAAAAGTATGCATTAGAACCTTCTAGAAAGCACTTGGTAATTGTAAGGAAGGGAAATGACAGGGGGAGGAGGCTAGGTGAGAAGCCTGGTCTAATCTGAGCCTAAAAATCAATACTATGAGGCTGTAGATTGCATGCTGCTGACTCCCGGCTCCCTGGGGACACAAGGCAGATGCTCACTGGGTGTGGGGGGGAAGGGAAGAGCTGGAACAAGGCGGCTGGGGAGCCAGCGGGGAGCTTCCATTTGCAAAGGCTCTGGGGGCCCTAATGAGAAACCAGGAGCCTTCCAGGAGAGTAGGATGAAGCCGGGGATGGAAAAGTGTTTGTACACCCTGTCTGATTCTGCTGTGTTCATCCAAATGATCTCAGAGTCTCCGGTGGGAGGACAGCACAGTTTGACCAGGCCAGCAGGGCTTCCTGAAGATTTTCTAAGTGTCTGGCATCATGTCTGACACTGGGTACTAAAGCTAGGTCCAACCCACAGCTTGTAAGGAGATGAAACAAGGAACTACATTGTCTGCTTGAGTCTGCTTGCTGTCTGGGGTTGTGTTTGCCGGCAGCAAACTCTGGTGCCACAGCTGGACATGTGTGGTTATCAGAACACAGATAGCCTGGATTCAGAAACCTGAAAATCTGAACTGCTTCCAAACGGCAAACTTCAGCATGTCAAAGTAATGCTGGAAAGTTTTGGATTTGGGGCTGGGACTGTAGCTCAGTGTTAGAGCACTTGCCTATCATGCATGAGAGACCCTAGGTTCAATTCCCCAGTCCTGCTATGGTGGGAGGGGAGCATTGACTCGGGACTGGGAATGTGGCCTAGTGGGTAAAAGGCTTGCCATACAAGCATAAGAACCAGAGTTCAAATCCCCTGCACTCATGTTGATGCTGGTTCCTATGCTTGTATGGCCCACTTGTAATACCAGAGCATAGGAGATGGAGACAGGTCTTTGGGACAAGCTGACTAGGAAGACTAGTTGGATAAACAAACAAGCCAGAGACCCTACCTCAATATATGAGGTGGAGGATGATGGAGAAAGACAACTGACATCAACCTCTTTCCTCCTCCTCTGTCTCTCTCTCTCTCTCTCTCTCTCTCTCTCTCTCTCTCTCTCTCTCTCTCTCTCTCTCTCTCACACACACACACACACACATACACACACACACAGGTGCACACGTGTGCGCGCACACACACGTGCACCCACATACATTCACACACCACATGCATAAAAACATTGAGGTTTGAAACATTATGGATTTAAGATTTGGGGACTTGGGGTGTCCCATGAATAAATCCACATAAATATCCCCAAACATAAGATGACTGGAGTCAGGAACAACCTGTTACAATAACAATAACTTGAATAATAATACATTAATAAAATAATAGTAAGTAGCTGAAGCCATTTCTGAATGTCAGTTTAGCCATAGGTACTAGCCAAGGGTGCTACATACATGATTCTTTTCAAATCTTGTCATAACTTGATGTAGATGTCTCCAGCCCCTTTGGTAGGTAAAATTAACTCATTTGACCAACATGAGTGGCCTTTAAACAATTTGAGCTTAGAGGCATCAGATGGCAAAATCTAATTCTTCTGATGTCTATTCATCCACAGCCTAGGGATGTGTGGTTTAGCAACAGGATCTAGCTGGAGATTTATTTCTTTATGACACTTAGAGGAAATCTATTTATCTCCATGCCTAATAAAAGAATGAGGCTGGATTTTCCATTATGCAATCGGAGGAGAACCCCAAGAATCTGTTTGCACCAAGATTTTCATTTTACAGGAATTAACCTGTGCCCCGTGGTCTTTCTCCCTGCCCTAAGCCCTCCGATCCTATGCTATTCACTTGGGAGGTGTGCAATTCATAGAGAATTCACCCCCAAAGACCCGACATTAAAATTCTTCCCAAATGGAAATTGCACTGCTTGCCACATTGAAGGAGGAAGAGAGAAGAGTTAAGAATGAAATACAGCAATAAGGAGAGGCCAAAAATGGCTCTCTTGCAGGTAAAGGAACTGGGCTCAGGGACAGCAATCTTGTTCTGCAAAGGACCAGGTGGTAGGTGTCTTAAGTTAGGGCCTGTTGTCACTGCTTGACTCTGTCACTGCTTCGCTGAAGGTTTAGACACCATTTGAACACATGTGCATGTGCTCACTGATGTCTCAATAAAACTTTATTTGTAAGCAGAGTTGTCCACCCCTTGGGTGAGTTGGTAGCACAGTACTTGGAGGATTTGAACCTGGAATCCTCACCTTATCCCATGTCAGCAATTGTCTTAGTTGGGATTTCCTATTGCTGTGAAGAGACATCATGACCACAACAACTCTTATAAATTTAATTTGGGCTGGCTTACAGTTCAGAGGTTTAGTCCATTATCATCATGGTGGGGAGCATGGTTGTACAAAGGCAGACATGGTGCTGGAGAAAGAGCCGAGAATTCTACATCTAGATTGGCAGGCAGCAGGAAGAGCAAGAGTCATTGGGCCTGGCTTGAGCATTTGAAACCTCAAAGCCCACCCCCCCCCCAGTGACACACATCCTCCCAACAAAGCCACACCTCCTAATAGTGTCACTCCCTATGGGCCAAGCATTCAAATCTATGAGCTCATGGGGCCATTTCCTTTCAAACCACCACAGCAAGCTTTCTGGAAACTGAAGTGAGATCTCAATACATACTCTTACTATTAGCTCCCTTTTGTGTGTTGTCTCTCGGAACGTTCTCCTGGACTTTAGGATGCAGCTTCTGTCTTTGTGGGCAAGAAGGGATGTGTTTAATAAAGCGGCCATGTACAAAGAAGGAGGCAGGGTTGGTTGCAGGGCTCTGGGGGAAGTGGTGGGAGACAGAATGATACCCTTCCCAGCAAACAACCCAGTTAGAGGGTTTGAAGTGGAGTTCTCCTGACTAAACTATGGGAGCAATGATATCATAAGGAGAGCATGGTGGGAGGGGCCACCTGCCAGGAGCTGTGTTCTGGGGTCATAGCATGCAACTAGTCAGAGTGGGAGGGACCAGGGAAAAAAACTTCTGATCTCTGTCACTTCCCTCTACCCACTCTCTTCCCAACTGTTCAGCCCTAGCTAAAGGGCAGTGGTCTTGGAGAGTTGCTAGGATAATGGAGGGGAGACAGACAGCCCACCGGCAGGCCATTAATTAGGATGTGGCCCATGCCTAACAACACAGTCAATGCTAGGTTCCAGAATGGTGTAGTCGCACTTTACCTGCTTGCTGTAATTTTTTGGTAATGATTTAGAGTCTGTTTTTAAAATTCTATCCCCGTCAATGAGATGGGAAGAAAAATCCCCTCCAAATTAGGGTCTGGGGTGGAGCTCAAGGGTGGAGAGCAGCCTTAGCATGTGAGAGGTCCTCCATTCAGCCCTCATCTAGATGAGCATTTACGTAGTGCTCTGGTGATCATTTGGGTCAGTGGTTCATCAGTTTAAAATGCAAGTAATTCTTAGATTCTTTCCTGGTTCAGTAAAGCATAGCAAACCCAGGATTCAAACTCAGTGGCCTCTGGAATTCCATGATCTCCCATCAGCCTTTCTATCATAGAACTCCTCTTTATCATTTAACACTATATCACTAAAACAAGTCAGTAGTGGTTAGTCCTCTTCCATGATGTATTTTGAAGGGCTGACTTGTCTTCATCTCCCAACGTTTGTAGGACCCTCCATTCACTGCTTTGCTTGAGACACTGGTTAATTTTTAGGATCCCCCACCCCATATATAACTCTGTCACGAACATCTTTCACATAAATCCTGCGTATTTCTTGATCAAACATGTGGCAATTTTACAGCGCTGGCTGGAGCCGGATGATACGGCCTCAGGAATGGTTAGGTCAATTTAATTTATTCACTACAGCTCTTTCCAGTGAGTCATTAGTGACCCTCATTTTGTGTGAGTTCACCCCTGAGCATTGATTTCATTTTCTCTAATTGGAAAAGTGTTGGGCAAAGGCACAATCAGGACGGTCACAAATAACCCCTTTGATCTGCCCCGGGAATGCCAGACCAACTTTGCCCTTTTCCTGCAACTTAGAGTTCAATTGTCCAAGGAGTCTCTGTCCTGCCACCGCTGACCTTGGGGACACTGAAGATTGTCCTGTGCTGAATCTGAAATCGGGGAAGCCCAAACCTTGAACCTAGTGGTGGAATACCTCCAGCCCAAAGCCAGACAAAGAACCAGGCCAAGCTCTCTGTGACAGTGCTTTGTCCCAGGATAGACAGCATCCATCACTTCAGATTCCATCACCTAGCCACACTGGCGTCACCTGACTTTGTGTGAGCAGGCACGGCAATGTGTCCAGGAGGACAAAGTCAGCTAATGCTGTGTTTTCCAGAATACACCCCATGTAATGTGACTTTGATTGGGTTCCCTAGAGAAGTCGGAGATGGAGAAGTTTATCCCAGGCAGTCACTGAGGAAGACTAATAATAATGATAATAATAATAATAAAGGCTGAGTAGGTGTGTTCAGCTGAAGTCCAGTCTAAGCCTCATCCTTGGGGAGCTGAGGGAGATGGATGGTGTCATGGGGCTGTCTCTCTACAAAAGTAGGCCAAAGGCTTTTTGTATCCCATGCCAGTGATTCCAAACCACTGCCACTGAAATTGGGATCACAGTGGGGGGGGGCAGGTCTCCACATTTGCTTATGAGACCCCACATAAGCAAAGCCAGGTGTGGTGGCACACAATTGTAAAGACAGGAAGGGGATCCCTGGGGCCTGCTGACCAGCCAGCCTAGGGTACCTGATGAGTCCAAGCCAGGGAGAGACACAGGCCCAAAAACACAAGGGAGAGGTGGTAGGAGACGGGTGAAGGGGGGCTCCTGGGGAATGACATCAGGGGCTATTCTCTGGCTTCCTCGTGCGCCTGCATGCACGTGAACACGCAAACGTGTAATCAGGTCCCATCCCTTTGCCTCTACCATAGTCACAGCCTCCCCTTGACTTCTGGAAGGGGGTGACTAGAACCCTAATTCCTTTCTTCTTCTCTTTTAAAAGTTCTGAGAATAGAGCATAGGGCATCATGCATGCATGCTAGGCATGTGCCCTGCCCCTGATCTACCTCCCCAGCCCTTTACATGCATGTGATGTGTGTGAACATGTGGATGAGAGTGCATGTGTATGTGTGTGCTCATGTGTGCAGGTATGGGTCCTGTTTCTATCTCAAACAAAAATAAATACATAGGAAAGAAAAAAGTAAAGCTCATGCTTAGGAATTATAGCTTTTTTTTACGTAGAATAATATTAAGTAGTAAGTATTTAGAAGAGGCACCATGGTAAGTCGAAAGGAAATCACTGAAGAAGAATAAGCAGCTTTCTTGGGTGGGTTACATGGCTCAGCAGGGAAAGGAACTTGCTGCCAAGTCTGATGACCTGAGTTTGAGCCCAGGAACCCTCAGGCTGGGAGGAGAGAACTGACTCCAGGAAGTTGTCCTTTGACCCTCACAGCTGTACTGTGACAGACACACACACACACACAACACCCACCCACAACACACAATAAGAAATATATAAATAACCCCCCCCAATTTAAAGAAAACCCTTGAACAGCAGTAGCTTCCTGCTTTGGGAACAGAAGGTCCTCCCTGCCCATATTAATTACTTTGCTCCTTGCTGTGATCAAATCCCAGATAAGAAACAGCCTGAGAAGAAGCATGAGGGAGTGCAGTGCATCATGGGAAGGGGTGATACGGTGGTGGGAACCTGAGCAACTGGGTCACATGGCTCCAGGAAGTGGGGCTGGAACATAAAACCTCAAGGCTCATGCCCAGTGACTAAGACTCACTTCCTCCAGGGAGGTTCTGCCTTCTAGTTACACATATTCTCCCCAGAAATGCACCATCCTCTCAGGGAACAGGTGTTGGAACTCATGAGCCCCGGGAGGACATCTTACACTCAGATCACACCAGTGTGACCTGCGTTGTTCACAGAGCCCTGATGATTACCGAGCCTTGCTCTGTAGACCGGACTGTTTGCCCTAAGAGTCCGTGTGTTCTTCTGTGTCCTGTCAGCATTTAGCTTGCTCTTGGACATTCTTCCTACCTCTCTCTCTCTCCACAAGTCCTCCTACTTGTCTAGGATACCAGGCAAAGGTCTGAAAATGGAAGACAGATGCCACGGGAGCAGTGTATTAATGCCACATGGCCCCTGGGAATAAAAAGGTAGGCCATGGCGCAGGGCTCTGTGTTGTGTGTTACAAGGAGTGGGCCATCTGGGGACTGTGTTCCTGTCCCTATTTCTGCATGTCTTGGAGCCCAGCCCTTCATGGGGTGATCCATAAGCCACACAACCCCAGATTCAAGGTGAGCAGACAGAGGAAGGGTCAGGAGTTGGGCTGCCCCAAGACCATGGTTATGATGGGTCTGCCTTCCAGTCGGTTATTAACTTGAATGCCTGAATCGATGAGGCAATGCACCTTCCAAACGAGGGTGTGGAAAGTTCTGGGAAACCAAAGGAGGAAAAAAGGAGTGGCCAGGTTGGGCTTTTGTCCATCTCCTGTGTTCCTTTGGCCAGGGCACCTTGAACCAGACCCCAGATGGTCTCCAGACATACCAGGGCAGGTCCGCAGAACTGGGTCATGCCTTGGCTCCAGGGGACCAATAACTTCTGCACCTGGGAGAGGTACACATGGCCCCAAATTAATATAGTTAATGAAGGAAGCTGAGGGCCATGCTGCTGTCCGGGTCCATCTGCCTTTGCTTGGTCTCCTGGTCTCCATCTCCACTCACTCTTAATTCCCGAATCATGTCATCGGGAAGGGGGGAGTCTACTTCTGGAACATTCTAGGGTTGTCCTTTGGATGTAGACAAGTTTACCACAATCCAGCCAAGAATCAGAAGACCCACCCCAAGGAAAGCCCATGGTCACCCATCCTAGGGCTCAGGTTATCCTGGAACAACCTTTATTAGAACTCTCAGAGGCCTGCATCTACGCAGTCCTTTCTGGACCTTCCAGGATCCTCCTTGGCTGGACTGAGTCTGAGGGTAGGATGTCACAGTGTAGAGTCAGGGAAGGAGAAATATAAATTTCAGAAACCAATCTGGACCCAATCCCAAATCCAGACTCTTGCTCATTAAGTGTCTGGGGACATGGGACTGTGCCTGTCTGAGCCCCACTTTCTTCCTCCCCTGCAAAATGGGTAGGAGTAAGACCTGCCTCAAAGGGTTGTTGGGAAGTTTGGGTAAGAAGTATAACAGCTACTGATTACTCAGCCTGGATGGAAGGAGCAGCTGGGCACCGCTCAAAGGCCACTACAGAACTATCACCTCGACTGTATTCATCTGACTTAGTCACCGTGACAGAATGCCTGTGTCAGACAATTCAAGTCAGGAATCTTATCCCTAAGTCATCTTATTAAGTCTGGTCTTATTTAGTTAACAACAAATGGCTTTTGAGTTTAATTCGCTACTGTATGCTTGGTTGCCTTGAGGGTAATCCCAGAATCTGGCTTTCCAGCACATTCATGACTTCATTTTCTTGAATAGGGGACACTTAGGTAATTTTCTGAAGGAATCCAACCATTAGCCCAGCCATTTCCACAGCTCCACGAAGAAAGTCACCTCATTCCCATTTCACAGATGATAAAACCGAGACCCAGAGCATCTCAGCCATTTACCCTTAGACCCACAGCAACTATTTGGTAGTGGCTGGTATTGAAGGGCCTAGGTTTGGGGTAGCATTAATAACTATCACTGAAGAGTGTTTTGTGTAAGTTAAGGATTTAACCACTGCCCACAAAGATCAAAGTCTAGCCCACGTGTGTGGCTGTGGTTGTTTGTGGAATTCTTGCTGCTGATATTCATACTGTGTGTTCATGCCATGTCCCCACTGTCCCTGGTAACTGATGCCTCCCTGCTAGGATGCTGGAATCCATACCCCACAGGGGACCCAGAACAAAGAATGCAGAAGGCATTTTGCCTACTCCTGAGATGTCTGAGTGTGCCTCCCAAGGGCCCAGCTTAGCTTTGGAGAGGGGTTTGAGAGGTGGAGAGATTCTGGGGAGGGAAGCACCCTCACCCTCCATCCCCAGCCTCATAAACCAGGCAGACCACATGCCCCCCACTGAGGATTCACATGCCCTGGCATCCGTCCAGAGCAGAAGAGGCCGCACCTGTTTGCAATGTAATTTTGTCATTATCAGCCTGTACCCAGCTGAAATTCAAACACTGGAGAAGGAAGGGGGCGATGGGGAGGGGGCGGCAGGCTGGGATGCTGGAGAGGAAGGCCGATCAAGTGTCCTAAATTGCCTGCACTTTAATGCTTGATATAAAAAAATTTCCTGTAATGCGTGTTACCATAAAGAAGAGCGTGCCGCACAAGCCGCAGCCGGGTGGCTTCTTGCTCAAATGCTCCCACACTGTCTGCAGCTTGCAGATGATGCTGTAAGCTGCCTGTTTCTTTCTGGCCTTGCCTAGCTCTGTATGGGAAGCATCCGGGATTCAGGGTCCACAGACCAATTCCCAGATTCTAGCTAACCACCTCCATTCAAATCCACAGTCCACCTGGAGGGCTGCAGACCAACAGTGTAATCCCCAGTCCTGGCTCCACAAAACCCACAAGATATTGGGGTCACTGGGGTGCACTCGGACCATTCCAAAAGGGATGCATTCAGGATGCACCTGGACAGTTGGCCCGGTTTCTCTGCAGGGGCAAATGATAGAGGCAATTTCCTCATTGGTAAGATGCAGCTTCCTTCGTAGGTTTACCATGGACTTGCTGAATACCTGGGAACTGCCTGGGGCTGCTGCAGAGGTGGCAGGCATGACTATGACAATGATGACAGGAGAGGAGGAGGGAGAGAAAGGAGAGATGAGGGTGAGCAGGGAGAAATGGGGAGGATGGGCAGAAAGAGAAGAGGATGTGAGCAGGAATGGGGAGGAGGATGAGCAGGGAGAGAGGAGGAGGCTGAGCAGAGAGAGTAGGGAGGTGAGAAGAGAGGGGAGGAGGGTGAACAGGAAGGGAGGAGGAGGGTGAGCAGGGAGAGGAGGAGGGAGAGCAGGGGGGAGGAAGAGAGTGAGCAGGAAGGGGAGGAGGGGGAACAGGAAGTGTCATCACTTTCGAAGCATCTGCTATGTGCATCTGATTCTCTGTGTGATGCCATGAGTCAGGCATGGGAACCATTTACGTCCACAGACAAGATTGGCAGAAACCAGAGAGTAGAAGCTCTGTCCACTCCATGTCGGAGGATCCTTGAAGGCCGACCTTGAACACAGAGCTCCTTTCTGACATGAATTTGGAAAGTGGTATTCGTTAGGACTGGAAGAAGGGGTTATCACCCTCCAGCCTGGCTTGCCACAGCCTGCCTGTGACATGCCTCACTACTTGGGGCAGTGAAAGGCATGACCAGAACAACAGGTGGCAGTGGCTAGATTCTTCTGGTACCTTCCACTCAAGCTTCATGCACAAAGTGAGGTCACCGTACATTCTGGAGTCAGATGCGTACAGTAGCTCAGGGGTTTGGGCATGCAGTGAGACCGCAGGCAT